AGAAATGTGAGTGAAGGGAGACAGCGGATGGTGTAAGACATGAAAATAATAATTTATAATTTATCAAGGGTTCATGAGGGTGGGAGGGATAAAAGAGGAGCTGATACCAAGGGTTCAAGTATAAAGAAAATGTTTTGAAAGTGATGATGGCAACATACATTGTTATAAGAGCTGTAAGAGCCCCCAATAAAATGATTTATTTATTTTTAAACGGTGACATGCTGGGGATGTCAGACTTCCTATCAGACAAGGGCAGAGTCAGCATCAGCTTCAGTTCAAGGCTGATTCCTGTGAAGCAGAGGTCAGCCGTGCGTTTAGCTCCCCAGCCGTTACACCAGTTCTGTCCGTGGCGCTATCTATTTCTCTGCCGGGTTTGAGAATTCATTGATATGGCCACACAGACCTCAAATCGGATACTCATGACTATGAGTCTTCTTAGGAAGTTTCAGGTTACAATTCAGGATAAGGAATGATTCAGGATACAGTTCTTTGGTCAGGGAAGTTCCTCAGCTGTGGCTAGGGCAGGCTCTTTGGGCCCATCAAGAGAGTGGGATGAGGTATAATGGGTTCTGTGGATTGGGGAGTCCACTGCAACCTTCTCTTGCAGGTCTCCTGATGCTGCTCTGTCTGCTTCTCTGCCAAAGCTTCTTGCTGTTGCCAGCGGTCAGCTTTGTCTGTCTCTCTGGTCTAATGGGCCTCAGCGCAGGGATCCCAGGTCCAAAGGACAAGCTCTACTCTTAGCTCTTCTTTCTTGGTGGCAGAAAGGTGCCCACTTTCTGCTGTTGGGATGGCTCACCTGATCAAACTCCTTGGTGGTCCACAAGCACCTTACGTGCGTATTATGCCCAATCCTTTGATTGGAGTTCTCACACCACGGCAAGGAAGGCCATGTAAAAGTGGTCTGTTGCATCAGTCTCTGGCACAAGCAACAATTTAAAACATCTTTCTCTAGTTTTATGACAGGTGTTTACTCAGGATACAAGAAATTGTAGATTCTGTTCTTCCCAGACATGGGTTGGGCTTTCCAGAGCCTCACTGCAGTTACAGTAGATGTAGCTAAAGCATCTGCAAGCTAGCAATTCCTGTTAGTTGCCCTCAAGCCTAGTCCTTGACTTGGGGCAACTGCTCCACAGGGTTTTCAAGGTTGTGATCTCTCTGAAGCACATCACCAAGCTTCAACTGCCAATCGTTCGGCTGGGAACCCAGTGCTTAAACATTTAACTACCCGGTAATCTCCAGTCTAGATGGTGGCCTAGTGGTTATGGGCTGGGCTGCAGGGTTAGCAGTTCAAAAGCACCAGACACTCTGAAGAAGCAAGATGAGGCTCTTCTACTCCCATAAAGTTACAGTACTGGAAATCCACAGGGGCAGTTCTACCCTGTCCTATAGCGTCGCTATGACAGCATGACTCCATGGCAGCCAGTTTGGTTATCGATAGATGGGGGTGGGTTCAGGTAACAACCCTCATCCTATATTGGGGCAGGGTTACCTCTTAGCCAACATCCGGTGGGAGAAAGGACAGAGCCGAGAAGCATGCTCAGTTCCCACAACCTGCCCAGGGGGTGGAGGGGGACCTGACACCTGAGCAGCTTTGTGAGTTACAAAAATGGGAGAGGGGGGGTCCAAGCAAACTGCCAGCCACTTGCTATCAGTCCATTCCGATTCAAGCCAACTGCTCCAAGGGTTCCCAGGGTTGTCACTTTGGGAAGCAGACTGCTGCCACACCTTTCACCCACCTTCTGGGTGGCAGCTAGTGCTTTAACGTTGCCTACCAGGTCTCCTTGATTTTTAAGAAAAGGACCCCAAATACCCACAGCAAATGAGCTGATTCCAATTCACAGCGACCCTATGCAGGGTTTCCAAGACTGTACATCTTTACAGGAGCAGACAGCTCCAGCTTTCTTCTGCGGAGCGGCTGGTGGCTTTGAACCGCTGAATGGCGCGCGTTTGAGGTTAGCAGCCCAACACCTAGTTCACAAAGCCCCTAGAAATCACCAATTTAGAGCTGCCTCAGCCCTTTTGCAAAATTTGCTGTGTATGCGCCTTTCTTTGGCGAGAGGATCTCAGAAGTTCGCCTGGTCGAGCCCAATGTCCCCACTGAACAGATAGGGAAACAGGCCCCGAGGCAGGTAGGGGGCTTCAAGTCCGTTCAGCTGGACGAATGCATCGCAGGCGGTCCAGATTCCAGCCTCAAAGCGTCTCGGCCGAGCGCCCAGTTCCGGCTCCTCAGGAGATGCCCCCACCCTGCCCTCACCGGGTGCAACCCCGTTGCCTCGCTGGCACCCAGGACCTGAGGACTCGGGAAGAGCAGACGTGCGGAAGCGGAGGCGCCGGGCGACTGCGAGGAACAACGCCTACTCACTCACCTGACCGAGAGGAGGAAGCCGGCACGCCCCAAAAGCTGGTCCGGAGCGAACCCAGGGCGGAGGGAGGAGGGAGCGAAAAGAATAACAGGAAATGACGCAAGGCGCACGTGCTTCGGAGAGGGGCGTTTGAGAGGCTCGGGCACCGCCCCGCGCCTGCGCAGTTAGCACCTGCGGCGCTGCCGAGTCACCGGGGAGGGAGGAGCGCGAGCAAGGGGCGGGGCGCGTGCGCGAGTGACGCAGGCGCAGTACGACTCCGGAGGCGCGGGCAGTCCCCTCCGCGGGTTTGGATCCGGGTCAGTCAGGCGCGGCGATCGGGGAAAGACGATCTGAAGTGACGGCAGTCGATCACCGGAGCGCCCCAGCTACGAGGAGGTAAGTACCGTGACGAGGCGGGGAGGAGCCGCTGCACCGCGTCTCCCCCGGAGGCCCGGCCTGGGCCCCCGGCGGCTGCCTGCGGGCCGTCCGGTCCGCGTCGCGTCGCCGGGCCGCTGACTCTCCGGGCCGGGCCTGGGCCTCCCGGCGGCCGCGGGCTGGATCTCCCGGAGCTCCACGCTCCTGCCCGCTCCCGCCTTCCTGCCTTCTCCTTGCGCCCGCCGGGTCCGGCTCCTCCGCAGCCTCCCGCCCGGCGCTGGCTTCCCCTTTTCTCGCTCTCTGCCCGCCCTTTGCCCCTTCCCGCCCTTTCCCCGCCGGTCTCAGCCCCGGTCTCGGTGGCCGCAACCCCGCTCCGGTCACCTCCTCCTTCTCTGGCCCTGGCCGGACCCTCCCCTCTCGTTCCGGCCCGGGGAGTGTTCCGAGATGGGAACTTTGAAGCTGGACATCTGGGGCGGGCAGAGCGAGGGCCTGGGCGCCCCCAGATGCTGACCTTCTTGAGCCCGCTTAACGGCGAAAGACCCCGATTCTGGGGGGACCGAATTAGGCCGTTCGAGGCGAGCCCCGTGTGCGTCGGGGTGGAGGGGGTGCGGAGAGGGGGTGAATGTTTTGTCCTGGGAGCCGGTGTCGCCGGCCCCTTCCAGAGGCGAGCCTGGCCTTTCCTCCGCCGGCGCCGGTGTCCGGGGTAACTGTTTCTAAGGCTTTGACTTCAGGATTCGCGTAGGTGCGGATCCTCGGCCTCGGTGTTTTGTTCTTTTTTGAAAGGACATAGAGACCTAGGCGTCTGGTTCGCCCTGGTTCCGCGCTCGGCTGGTAAGGAAGGTCGGCGGTTCGAACCGACCAGCCGTTCCGGTGGGAGACAGCCGAGTGGCGGTCTTCCTACCTAAAGAATGTCTCCTTGAGGAACCCCCTGGGGTCTGTACTGTAGGTGGCTACTCGCCGGCAGTAGGTCTTGGTTTGAAGAGTCTTGGTTAAAGCTTCATTATTTACTTTTAGATTGTGACACATGCGATTTGTTGGAAGCCCCCCGCCCCCGGGAAACCAGCCGTTTGTCCCCTTGGTGGAGGAACTCAGCAGAACGTTACCTGTGTTTTGAAAGGTTGTGGGAAACGTGAAGCAGAGCGCTGACCACCTCCTGAAAGGCTTTTTAAATGGGTGATGTTGGGGGGTGAGGGGATTCAGCTCTAAGAAGTCAGTGCGGTGAAAGCAGCAAGGATGTCTTCCACACATTCCCTGTTTATGAAGAAGCACGAAACCAACTCTCCTGAAGGGTTGTACAGCACCTGTTCTGAGTGCATGGGAAGCAGCTAGGGAGACCAAGGAGCATAAGGAGGCTTTTGTAATCACCGAAAAGCTCTGCTCTAGCTCTTAAGGTCATGGCTAAGATTTATCTTTGCCTAGGGTTAAAATAACAGGAAGATGAAAGAGGGTAATCAAAATGCTCGCAACTGAAAGTTGTTTAGATGGGTCTTGTGTGGAGCTAGGTTTTTGTTTTGGTCTGTTTGGATTTTTAAATGCTAGCGTTTTTGCTGTGTCCACAAGGATGTTAACCAAGTTTGTATTAAGGTTTATGGTGGCCACCTGCAATGCTGATTAAGCCAGCACTATATAATTAAAAATGAACCTACCTGGGTGCAAAGCTGGTCAGCGTCGTGTTAAAAGGACTAACTTAGAGTGTAAGCTCCCGGAGGGCAGAGATGAGACTCCAGTCCAGTCCTAGAGAAATGGCACTCACGTCTTTGTATCAGGTTCACACAGATCCTCAGCATCCAGGCGAGAGCCATGCACATGGTAGGCATTCTGGAAATATTTGTGGAAGGAATGAGTTTCTGTAGTGTATACTTGACGTGTTTACTGACTATTCCCCATCCCCTATACAACACACCCAGGTAAATCAAGCACACACGCAAGCCTGTAGCATGGATAGGAAACTAATGTTTAAGGGAGTTGTGTGGCTTTCAAAAAAAAAAAAAAAGATACAGAGTGTAGGTAAGTAGTGACTGAATGAATCTCAGTTCTGTACTTGTGAGGAGGTTCACTGTTGCAGACTGACTCAGAACTGTAAGCACCAACAGGTTGAGCCTTTTTCTGAAGGGCCACAGGAAACAGAAAAACTAGATAGCAAACTTTAGTTTTGTGTGGCCAGCAGGAAGAATTTGTTTATAGCCTATGATTGCATCCTGTTAGATACTGTGGAGCTTTGAAATATTCAAATACCTGACCTTTCTTCCCCTGCCTCTGGTATATAGGATGATATTGTGTAGTCGGAGGGATCCTACTTGAAATTCAGAAGACTTAGAAACTGGTAAGGATGCAATTGCAAAAATAAGTCATGCCCCACCCCCAACACACACGTGTTTTTGCACAGGTTAAGTAAATCAGAACAACGAGGGGCTTCAAAAAGTTTTTGGGAAAATGGAATGAAAAGATAAGGCGTTTACTCAGGGACAAGTTGGAAGGGTTAGGAAAGGAAGAGATATGCAAACAGGGAAGGCCCTGGGCTGAGAGCTGGGACACAGAGGGGTTGCTGTGGATGAGTGGAAACAAAATGTGTATCACCTGTTGAATGTATAACTGATGATCCGCTCTGTCAGCCTTTACCCAATTCATAATAACTTTAGGGGGAAAAGAGCAGTAATTTGTCACAACTTTTTTGAAGGTTGTCCCCCTCCTGCCCATGTGTGGAGAGTGTATTTAATTTTTTTCCCTATAATGAGTGAAAGGGAATAGTCTCGAGTCTCCTCTTTATATTCTTCACTGGTATAACACTGTTGCATTATATCCAACATTCTGACCCCTGACCTTTGGAATATTAGAGGTCTCACAATAACATCAAACTGATCCCTGAGAAATGAGCAGATCTGGAATCTCTGGACCCAAGGGTCCCCAGAAAGGCACCACGGTGCCTAAGGGGGGTGTGGGGGTGGGGTGGGGCTAGGGGTAAGAGGTTAGAATTAAAGAGGTAAGGTCAATCCTTTGCTTTAACATTTTCCTTTTCTTTTTGGTTCCCTGTGATATGTTCACAGATACAGGTGTGCTTATTATCTGTTGTAAGATTTATTATTCTGGGTGAAAAAATAATTTGGAGACTCAATCCAAAAACTGTATTAATCTGTTGGGTTTCTTTTTTGCCTGGTGCCTCTTCTTGCTTAAATAAAATTCAAGGTGAAAGGAGTAGACAACTTCAGTTTGACTGAGCTGTTTGAGTAACTGGAAATCATCTAAAGGTACATCTACAGAATGATTTATATATAGATTTATGTATATCTACAGAATGATTTTATCTTCCTACTTTTCTTAAAAACAAAAATTTCCCCCTATACTTTGAGTTGTAAGTATATAAGGGGCTACCCCCTCTCCCCCGAAAAATTTTTATTTTTCAAAGCTATGTATTAAATTTTTTTTTTACAAAGCAACCATATCACCTTCAAAGTACTCTATTACACGAAATACATTTGTCATATCTGTGATTCCATTCTTCCTCACCTAGTGGGAAAAATGCATACACGAAAGCGCTGCCCAGCGGAGCTTTTTCCCTTTGGAACAGGGGGGCACTCCCTCGTAGTTTGTGCACTTTTCATCTTGTTTAATATAAAGTATGTGATACTGTACATTAAAACAAAATCAGTGTCTCAACTTTATAGGTAGAATGGGGCCTAATCAGTAGTAATTGAAACATGTTTCTAATCCAACTTTTATCCTCAATTTTATCATGCTTTTATCCCAAGTTAACACCATGGTTACCTTTTTTTTTTTAAGTAGTTGGAATTTAACACCTATATCATTCCTTATTTCAATCACGTTACAGAATTGTACAGTCGCTACCACAATCAGTTTCCAAACAGCATTGTTATCTTATTGGTTATCGACACTAAAACACGCCTTCTTGAATATTAGTATTTTGAGGCTCGACTTACTTGAATCATGCGAGCTCAACTCGACCACTATTGAGCCTTGTTTAAAGAGTCAAAGTGCTCTAGATTTCCCTTTGCGTTTCTGATGCCAAGATGTGTGTGTGTGGAGGGGGGGTTTAGGCACCGTCAGATAAAGATCTCGTGACAAATTGAAAAGCAGAGGGTCTTAGGTGATGTAGTTCCCAACGCTTGGTAAAAGGATATTAGACCATTTAAATTCTATAGCAAATCTGCATTTTGTTTCCTCTGTATAACCTTGCTGTTTCCTAACTGTTAGCACTGTAATGCCCTCCGAGAAGTGTTTTCCTGATGAGCAGTAATAGTATCAGGAATGTGGATCTTCTGAAAAGCGCTCTATTTTATGTACTTGTTTTCACTTTGCATGTCTGCCTTCTTTTTTCTCTTAGCACAAACAGAAACATCCATTAGTAGTGTGAGAACTTTCACAATGAAATCTGAAGCCAAGGATGGAGAGGAGGAAAGTCTACAAACTGCCTTCAAGAAGTTGCGGGTGGATGCATCAGGGTAATGAAATGTTGTATGGTATTGGGGATTATTCATTTCTTACGTTTCAATAGTCCTTTTCCTCTGAAGAGCTTTCTTCATAGAATAACAAGATAGAAGTGTGGGTGGTATGGCATTCTACCAAATTCTCCATAGCATTGTTTTATTTTTTAAAAATTTTATTTTTAATTTTCCTAATTAAAATTTCAATGGTTGTGGGGTTTTTTCTCTGAACATAGGGTGTTTAGCTATCCTTTAACTTTGAAGATTTCCCCTTCTGTCTTCTTAATCAAAGCTTATCGAACACTGTCCCATCTGAGATTGCCTCCTGCCCTCTCAAGGGAGTCACAGTGTTTTTCACTCACAGCGAATTGACTCAATAGAAATCTATAAAGACTTTGTAGATTTCATGGGCTCTGATTGCTGAGCTGATCACTATGGAAACCTCTATTCAGTAGCATTCTGTCATGGAGATCAATAATCTTGGACCCTTTGGCCAGACTAATTAGAGCTCCTGCATACCAGCTGCTGTCTGAATGTTAATATACCCCTTTCTGCAAAATATTCTCTGCCCCCAATCAAAAGCTAGCTCAAGTTTTGAATGGACATAAGAATTTTCTTGTAAACTACACATTGTAAAACACTCCACAACAAGCTGTTACGGTAATGGTTAACATTTAAAACTCATTTCATTCCTAAGCAGGAGCTCTGGTGTCATCGTGTTTACAAGTTGGGACGTTAGCTGTAGGTAGTCAGCTTGAAAACACTAACTGCTCCTTGGGAGAAGATTGGACTTTCTACTCCCATAAAGAGTTGCAGTCTCGGGCACTCACAGGGGCAGTTCCACCCTGTCCTGTAGGGTCGGTGTCAGTATTGACTCAGTGGCAGTGAGCTTTGTTTTTTGTTTTAGTGTAATTCCTAAGTGCTGGGTTAGGTGCTTCGTATCCATACTTCATTTAATCTTCGCTACTTCCCTAAAAGAAAGGTAGTCTCGTAATTCCAGTTTATAGATAGGACCGAAATTAAATCATTTGCTAATGTCCACATAGTGAAGAAGGGTAGAACCAGGATTTGAACACACAGAGCCTGTCTCTAGAACCAGGGTGCTTAACAACTTATTGAAAGACAGTCATATTTGTGCCCATTCCAAAGGAAAGTAATCCAATAGAATGTGGAAATTATTGAACAATATCATTAATATCACCCTCAAGTACAATTTTGCTAAAGATAATTAGACATAGCTACAACAGTACACCCACAGGGAGCTGCCTGAAATTCAAACCACATTCCGAAGACGACTCCGGAAAAGGGATCCTGTTGCTGGTGGCTCTTGACTGGAAGCAGGTAGTACCAGAAAGATGTTTTCTTGACTGCAAAGATAGTCAACTGTGGATTTTAAATTATGAATTAGCATTGAGAATTCCATCCAGAACACTTAATTGTGTTTATGTGGAACCTCACATGGCAAGAGGCAGTAGTTTGAACAGAACATGATTTAAAACCAGGGATTGCTCAGTTTCTCCGCCATCCTGAGTGTGGTGTTGCTCCAACTTCACCATGTCGTCTCATAAGACTTTCAGGATCAAGAGATTACTGGCCAAGAAACAGAAGCAGAATCGCCCCATTCCCCAATGGAGTCGAATGAAAACCGGTAATAAAATCAGGTACCAACTCCAAGAGAAGACATTGGAGAAGAACCAAGCTGGGTCTGTGCCTCGGGATGGCACACATGACCGCATTTTCCCAGTCTCAAATCGTGTTGCATTAAGACTTTTGTCCTCATCTGATCAGTTGAACTTCTATTGGCAAATCTGGTTTATTCCTTGGTTTTTTGCTTCCTCGTCAAGTCTAACAATAAATAATGTAAGGCTGTTAGTTTGAAAAAAGACAAAAACCAGGAATCGTGTGCTTTTAGGGTTGTTATCTTCTCACCATACTTAACTCAGTCTGAATGCTGAGCGAATCTGAGAGGTTGGATTGTATGGAGAATTGTGGCACATCCCAGTTGGTGGAAGGTTTATTAACAACATGATGTGCAGATGACGAGACTCCGCTTGTTGTAAGTAAAAGGACTTGAAGCACTTACTGATGATGATTAAAGACTATAGCCTTCAGTGTGGTTCACACCTCAGCATAAAGAAAGCACAACCTCTTAACTGGACCAGTAACTATATGATAAACAGAAAAGCTCGAAGTTACCATGGATTTCATTTAATAAGGGTCTGCATTCAAGGGCCATGGAAAGAAAGTCGAGAAATAAAATGACGACTGATTGCATTGGGCACATCTTCAAAAGACCTTTAAAGTGTTTAAAAGCAAAGAAGCCAGTTTGAGGACTACGGTGCATCTGACCCAAGCCATGGCATGTTCTCTTGTCCCTTCTGCATATGAAAACTGGACCGTAAGGAAGTTTTTTAAGCTATGGTGCTGGCAAAGAGTACTGAAGCTATGGTGCTGGCAAAGAGTACTGAATATGTCATGGACTTACAGAAGAACAATCATATTTATCTTGGAGGAAGTACAGCCAGCGTACACCTAAGAAACAAGCATGAGACTTTGTCTCACGTATTGTAGAAATACTATCAGGGAGGGACCAGTCCCTAGTAAAGGACATACTTAGTAAGTGGGGGGTCAGTAGAAAGACCCTCAGTGAGATGGACTGACACAATTACTGCAACAATGGACCGAGCTCTTGTACAGAAGGTGCTGTGGGTTGGAACCAACTCGGTGGCCTAACAACAAAAACACAGATACAACACCCCTTAGTGTGTGAGCTTACAAAAATAACTTTGGGTACAGACTTCTTTCTGGGTGTTTTGAATGGAACATAGCTTTAAACTATTTACCTGCCCCTAAAAATTTCTTGGAACATTTAGAAAATTACCTGTATGATGCAGGGTTCAAAATTGTATATTTATAGTATGTGATCACCTGGGATCAAATTAGAGACAGCGAAGGGGCAATGAAGAACATCTGAGAGAACCAACAGAGTGGAAGAAGTGAGTCACGACCATGACTCAGCAGGAAAAGACTTGCGTACTGCAGCTTAGGCGTCTAGTTTAAATATTGTTGCTGACTTACACGTGGGACATCTGAGGGACTGACTCATAATGAACCAAACTTTGGCAGGAATTTAGCATGATCATGTTTCACAGGTCATGATTCCTAATTTGTCATATTAGGATAAATGTATATGTTATAAAACAATCGTTTTCCCTGATTGTAAAAGAATACATTGCAGAAAAATTCACAATAATAAAGGAAGTAAAAGTCACAGTTTATAGTCGCCACCGTTAACATTTTGGTGGTTTCTTACTAGACCATTTGTGTGGGATGTCAGACACCTTTTCTCCCCCACGTAGTTAAGATCATGATGTGCGTGAACGTGTTTCGTCTGTGCTATTTTCTCTGTACACGTTACAAACATTTTTTCAGATCATTAAAATTGTATTGTACACTTAGTTTTTAATAAATTGTTAATATACATTGTATAGATGTGTCCTAGCTTATATAATACAGCGTTTGTCTACTGTTGTACATTTGGCTATCCCACCTTATTAGTTTTAGTGGAAAATGTACTACATTAGTAGATAAATGTGTCTAACCCATTTTTATCAGCCTCACAGCCTGTGGAGTAGGAGCCCATTATGTGGTGTCCCAAGGCCTGGAAGGCTCCATTCCAAATCATTCACCTATCTGTAGGTCGTGAGAGTGTGGATCAGGGCTAGGGAATGTCTGGCCTCAGGGCCATATAAGGCCCTCAAAATCATCTATACTAGCTCACATCACCAAAGAGTGGCAATTCATCACATTCACTCCCTGCCATCGAGTTGAATCAGACTCACAGTGGCCCTATCAGACAGTGTGGAACTGCCCCTGGGGGTTTCCAACACTGCAGCTTTTTATGGGAGTAGAGAGGAGCCTTTTCTTTTTTCATCCCTGAAGAGGGGTTGGTAATTTCGAACTGTTGACCTTTTGGTTAGCAGTCCAACATGTAATCGCTACACCACCAGGGCTCCTGCCATCACATTAGGGGTGAATTAATGAAATGTTTGACTAGTATGGCCCAAGAATGATGTTATACATATTCAATGGCTCCTGGCAGAAAAAGGGTTCCTCACCCCAGTTAGAGGTGTTTCTGCCCCTCTTTTCTTCATGCTCTTTACCGTAACTTTGCTTTAAACTACAAAGGTGTAATTTTGAGTAAGTGATTTAAGATAATTTGGTTTTTTTTTTAAGTTGCAATCTATTTTTAAAAATGTACTTGTTTTCAGTTTTGAGTGACTCTTTAATTTTTACTCCTAAACTTAGTTTCCATAGCTCTAGTCTGAAGTAAGTAGTCACTGTCATTAGTTTTCTTGCTGTGCATAAGGCCTGAATTGTCCCAAATAAATGGCCTTTATAGTCTGCTACCTGGTTGTATGTAGGAACCATTTTTGGTTTTTTATTTTGCAGCAGTGGCCTTTTAGGGATCCTATTCGTTTGGTTTTGGAGGGAAAATGAGCATTTGGGAACTTGAAACTAGAAAGCAAATTTAGATATTGATAAAAGTTGTGTCTGGGTAAGCAAGAACTCTGAGGGCCTATTGTGCGGTTTTCTGTAGCAGTGAACCTGGTTGGCTCTTTCAGGTCCGTGGCAGCTCTGTCTGTTGGAGAAGGCACAGGCGTTAGAACGTCAGCCCGAACAACTACCGAGGACACCAAATCTAAAGCCACAGGCACCGCCAAAGACAGTTGGCATGGGTAAGAGCTGCTTATTCTGGGTGATTTTCATCCTGCCACCCTAACGTATGATTGATTGGTTTACCTTCCTGGGTGCCCGAGAACATGCTATTCGTGAACAGTAGTGTTAGTGAAGCCTTGGTTATGAGGATGATTCTTTGGATGGGTTGGGTCTTGCTGTTTGAGCTGGTTCAGAGTCCGTTTTTAACCATGACCTGTGTGTGCTTGAGAGGAAGAAAGTCCTGGCACTCCATTAGGAAAAGCAGCTATTGTAAACGCTATGGGTCACACGGTCCAACCCTCAACACATCATGGAGTTGAGGCAGGGCCAGTGTTATCTTCTGTTGTGTCTTCTGCACGGGGTCGCGATGAGGTGGCGCCACTGACAGCATCAGCTGTGTCCTTGAAAAGAACGGGCTTTCTCCAGCCACTGGGTCTTGCATTCTGAATGATACTCCGTAAGTCATAGAAGTGCAGAATGGTTTCCTCCTGGGGAACTGAAACTTTAATTACATAGTAGCATTTTTTGTTCTATTCTATACAATAGCTTTTGTTTTAAAGTCAATTTTGTATGGGTTAGCATAAGCTGATCCAGTTTGTTTGGGGTCATTGTTTGCTTACGATATTTTTCTCTCTTACTTTGCATTCATTTTATGTTTCTAAACCTAAGTGTATTTTTCACAAATACCATGTCGTCATGGCTGTGACTCAGTGGTTGGGGGAACTTGTTGTTGGCATAGTGATCAAGCTTGTTTGTTTTGGGGTCATTCTTAGAGCTGCCTTCTTCGCCTCAGAGTCTAGGACCTCTGGAAGGTGGGTGATGTTCTGATCTTTCTTGTGGCTGTGGAAGCCTTTCAGCATGACTTTTCTTTCTTCAAACCAATGACCTTCCGTTATTTATTGTTAAATCTCAGTGTGAAGAAACCAGATATTTGCCAGTGCAAGTTCAATTGATCAGATGGTGGCAAGTCTTAAGCTCCACATGATAGACTCTAGTGAGTCTGGGTAAATGGGGCTGTGCGTGCAGTCCTGCGGGGCACCTTCCAGAGCCAGCTTTGAGTCTTCTCCAGTGTCTCCTCTTAGAGTTATACCTGATCTTATGACCGGTGTTCAATTGAATCCATTGGGGAATGGGCCAATTCTGCTTTTGTGTCTTGACCAGGAATCTTGATCCTGAGAGTGTTTAGGAGATGGCGCTGTGAAGACGGGAACTACCACACTCAGCATGGTGGAGAAACAGAGAAGGGCGGCAGAGCTTTTCTTGACTTTCAGTGCCTTTGCTTTGGCTTCCGTTTCAGGAGAGTCGGGGGCTTTCTTCTTTGCCTTTGGCACCATCATCATAAAAAGCCACCACAATTAATTTTAGAACATTTTCTTCATTCTTGTATTCATTATTAGCTTCCATTTCCCCCTAACCTCATCTGACATAGCCCTAAGAAACTATTAATCCAGTTACTATCTTTACAGATTTACCTATATTCTAGATTTCATATAAAGAAAAATACAACTACCCCCACTCCAATAATAACAAAATAAATAAAGGAAATCTATCCAGAAAAAAAGCAGAAAATAATAAAAACAAGTTTAAAATGAGTCAAAAGGAGAACAAATGATAAGGGGTTAAATTTTAACCTAACTACAGCTGGATTAATCCACTTTGCACACTGAGAGAAAGGATATTCACATCCCTAGATCAGTGGTCAGAGGGAATTCACCAGAGGCTTAATCCATATGAGGACTTTGGGCCTTCACTATCATGCATAGCCTTTTGCAAACAGTTCTTAGAATTTAAATTGCAATACAATTCCCTCCTTTGGTCTTGGATTTTATTATTTACAACCCTTGGATCACACAGGCTGGTGTGCTTCTGTGTGGATGTAGCTGACCCCTCACTTAGGTGGCTGCTTGTTTTAAGACAAGCCTTTAGATCCCAGACGCTCTTCTTTCCGATAGCTGGACACCGTCTGTTTTCTTCACCACATTTTGCTATCATTAGCACCCATACGGTCAGTGATCTCTTCATGAGGGGAAATACTGGATGATGCCAAACTCACTGCCATCGAGTCGGTGCCAACTCATCGTGACCTTATAGGACAGGGTAGAACTGCCCCTGTGAATTTCCAAGACCACCCCAATGTGTAACCACTGTGCCACCAGGGCTTCCGTTATGAGGGAAAAGCCACGTTTAACCTAGTTCTCCTAGAAATGATCTGGCTACTTTCAAGATCTTCCTATATCTATAGTCTCTCATCCTCGCAAGGATTTTCTCAGCCAGTATCTCTTTAAAAAAGAGCACTTTCTCTTTCCTTTGGGGGCTCCAGACTTCCTACTTTATCTTCCATGTGTCTTTTACATCTTTCCCCAAATACTTAACCACCCACTCCCGTCACGTGGATGTGGACTCCCAGTGGCTCTGCAGGACACACCAGATGCCGCTTGGGTTTCCCAGCTTCATCTTTCGCCCATGAAGTGCCTGCTGTGCTCAAAGGGGGCTGTCTTTGCGGTGTGACTCGCTGCCACCAGGGCTGCTTCCTTCCAGGACAGGAGCCAGCCCACTTTGCTATAAAAGGCCAGAGAGTAGTTATCGCAGACTTTGAAGGCTATTGCTACAGGTCACTGACATGAGCGAGAGAACACGCCTCCTCGCTCACTTCTGCCCGTTGTCCTGGGTGGGTGTTCACATGGTGCTCACTTGGCTGAGACGTTCTCGGAACAAAATGAGCGGCCTGACGGATGGAGTGGGGTGCAGTGCTGGGGACAGTTTTATTCTCTATCGTGGTGACACCTAGATCTCGGCATGCCAGGGCATTTGCAGCATTGGCCTCACAGTGAGTGCAGCTGCTGCCCTCGGGGCCCGGGCACACTTCACAAGGCACAGCTGCAGTGGAATTGCCTGTGCAGCCCACTGGTCCTTCCTAGCTGTAGCCCAGAAGACAGACTACCCTTTACTTGGTCTATAGCTTGTAGCGAGGACATGGTGACATTCCTTGAGACTTAGCTTGAAAATGGAGACAGCCCATCTCTTGTGAGGGGAGATTCCATATATGACCTTAGCCTCATGACTTTGACAGGAGATAGATTCCTGACTTTCCATAATGAGCGAGACTGTTCATGAGGAAACTGCATATCACAACATCTTGTGTGTTTTTTCCCTCTTAGATCTACAAGGAAGTCTTCGAGAGGAGCAGCAAGAACCCAGCGCCGGCGACGGTCTAAATCTCCTGTTCTTCATCCTCCCAAGTTTATACATTGCAGTACATTAACTGCTTCTTCCAGCAACCAGCTGAAGCACAAAAGCCAGACTGAGTCCCCTGATGGCAGCAGTGGGCTGGGAATTTCAGCCCCCAAAGAGTTCACTGCAGGGGAATGTGTGCCGCCGCCTCCTGATACTACCCACATGGGGCCAGTCAACGAGCCTTTGCCAACTGTGGTTCCGGGGCTCCGGTCAGAGAGTACCAAGGAAGACTGCGCTGATGTCACCCAAGTCTCCCAAGCAAATCTCAAGGCCAACCATCTCTCTGACTTTGGGTCCGTTTCCAAGCTAAACCAGGGCAAGCCATGTGCGTGTGTAGGCAAGGAGTGCCAGTGTAAGAGGTGGCACGACATGGAAGTGTACTCCTTCTCAGGCCTGCAGAGCGTCCCGCCCCTGGGCCCTGAGCGAAGGGCCCCGCTTGAGGACTACTCCCAGTCGCTGCACACCCGGACTCTGTCTGGCTCCCCTCGGTCCTGTTCTGAGCAAGCTCGTGTCTACGTGGATGACGTGACCATTGAGGACCTGTCAGGCTACATGGAATATTACTTGTATATCCCCAAGAAAATGTCCCACATGGCTGAAATGATGTACACCTGATAGCAAGGAGCTCACTGCTCTGCTTCAAACCAATGAAGGGTTGTCAGATTTAGTTAATGGCAGACCTTCCGGCCACTTTGTGTGAGAAGACATCTCCTTCTGCTCACTGTGCTTGCAATAAAAAACATTTCTTGTCATCTCCGTTCATCTTCGTTCTTTAAATTCACTCTGTTCCTACGTACCCACTGAGGCAAGCTGACCTAAAAACCACACCCCTCCTAGCACAGTGCCCGGGAGGTGAAGACACCTTTGTTACTCTGGACTGGCAGCAGTGGGTATGGACGACAGGGTAAACACCTTGGTCAAGCTGCGCACTTTTCAGATCTGTTGGGTTGAGTGGCCAAGGACCCTCCTTTGAGATTTTATAACGGAACTGAACACTGGTCACGCTGTAGTTGCCGGCCCCAGTATTAGCAGTGATGTGACTGATTGAAGCCATCTGATTCAGTGCAAGAGTTGTTGTCTTTAAAAGCTTTCTTATGTTACTGTTCAACCAGAGATTAAAGTTTAGATTCACTGTGAATAAACTAGCTGGCTTGCGTGACTGCTTGAGAGAATCATTAACCATCACTCAGCCACAGTGGCTGCCGGCCTACCTGATCCGTGTGCTCTGAAGTCTTGGGAGAATGTTGCTTCTGGTGGGTGTGGTATGGGATTAGAAATGAGTGCATCTCTGCCTGGCGTTATGTGCCTGGTATACTTGTTTCTGTCTATCATCAGTGGCCATAGAGGCCTCTTAGACCCCCGCTTCAAATGTGCTGCGTCAGATTGTTTCTGCCCTTCCACCTCAAAACCAAACCCCCTGCCATCAAGTCCAATCTGCCTTG